ATGCATTGTTTTTACTTACCTTGTTTGACTACTGGTGGAATTGGATGTCTTTGCACAGCTCTATCCCCGCTTGTGTTTCTTCCCATCAGAGCTCTGCCCACTTCACTTCCGCTTTGCGGCTGGGTATTCCATCTTACTCTCCGTGTACGACTGCTCCCCTCTACCTTGCATCTGAGCTGCCCACGTTTCCCCTGGCCGCCACCTGCCCTTTATTGCTGCTTTAGCGTATGTTTCTACAGAGACACTTACCATTTCTCTGCAGTCCAAATCTGTTCATCCTTTACTGTGTCATTTCTGGTTTTATTCCAGATTTGGAAAGTTCTTCTTCATCCAGGATTTTAAAAGAATGATTAAGACTTAAGAAATGATTTTTGCATATAACATGAAAAGGAATCTAATTTAATTTTGCCATGGATAGCCAATAATATGTAAGAGCTCCCATGAGTCCTTACTTACTATGGAATGCCATCTTTGTGATATACTCCATCTGGTTTCCTGACTCTCCTTGATTTGTCACAGCTCACCATTAACCCCCTATATTCACTACGGTTGCTCCATATAAAGTTTGCAAATCCACCTCATTGGTTTGTTTGCAATATTTCTTGGTTATCCACAAGCATTCATTCTTGCAAATAAGTCTTAGAAGGAACTTTCCAAGTTCCAAAATAAAATTCCATTGGGATTTTTATTGAACTTGTGTTAAATCAATAAAGTAAAAGAAGATTGCCATATTTACAACATAGAGTTTTCCCATGTGGAAACATTATTTCTTTTATCTCCTGTTTATTCAGGACTTCTCATTATTATAGTAGTTTTCCTCATATAGCTCTCACCCATTTTTATAGTTTTGTTGCTATTTTGAATGGGACTTTTTAAAAACATATTTTTTGATTGGTAGTTGCTATTGATGTCAATGTTTTCCTAGAATTCAGCCACCTTATTAAACTCCTGAATTCTTTTTTAGATTTGCTGCTCTAGAATTTCTAGGTAGACAGTATTTTCATCGGACAATTATGATAATTTTGTCTCTTCCTACTCAACACTTATATTTCTTATTCCTTGTTCTTGATTTTGGCCCAGCTCGGACTCTAGAACATACTAGACAGTAGCATTGATATCCGGTACTTCTGCTCTGGGAAGACTTCTCGGGTCTCCTTTCCCCTCACTCCACCTGGTTAAGGGCTGTTATTTCATACGCTCATCATACTCCAGCCTGGGTCTGTGGTCCCATGAATGACACACAAATGCAGCTGTCCATGAGCTTGGTCATTGTGTATTCCATGGCTCTGCGGCCTCTTCATCCATCGCTGTAGACCGAGCAGCTGACCCAGTTCCAGTACGTAACAGTGGTCCCATCATCTGTTCTCCCAGCTTCTAATCTCTCTCCACTATAATCCTCCCTCCATACTCTAAAGGAAGTGGGAAATTCTGTTCTTTACTCAAATTCTGTCATTCTGTCAGCTCTCTCCCTGAATCTCTACCCCTATTACTGCTCCCTTCATTCAAGCTCCCATTCTCCCTCACCTAGAGCAATGAGTCTCTATCTTAAATAATGGAGACGTCCCTTTTAAAGAAAACGAAATTCTATGAACCTCACTGTCACATCAAATTTTTATCATTTTGCTTAAAGGCGTACAAACAACATTTGGTATAAACTCTTTATGCTTATAGTTCTTATACAAATCTAAGACCAAAACAAATTTATACATTAAATACTTTCATAGCCAGTAAAATTAAAATTACTAAATGAGCTTAGAGTGACAGTACCATTTTGATGAAACTAACTTGCCAATTTTGAATTAATAATATGAAGATGTACATTCAGATCTTTCTACATAATCTGACTCTGTGTCTTTATTTCTATGACTGTCAAGTGGAGACTGCTCTTTTGAATACAAATTCTTCACAAAAGAATTCTGATAACTCAAGACGCTGTGTGCTATTTCAGAACAACCAGACTTCATATGTAGCTAAACTCTGGCACTATGCAATTCTAAAATGCTAATTTTAATGAGCTGTCGCTTGATAACTCAGTAAAGCTTGTTTGTTCACTTGAGGGTAAGATTAGCGTGGGGAAGTTACTGAAATCTGCATTACCTCTGTGGATGTATAAAATCAGATGCAAAAAAATTCTTTACCACATTTGCCTTTATATTAACTGCCCGTCAGTGACACAAGCTGGTACCCACAAAGACCCGGTAATGCTGTTGGAGTCCTGGTAAAGGTGCTGAGTCAGACAAGCCAATGCTGCTGGGCACTGTCTGACAACTCGGTTTTCTTATGGTGTCTTTCTTTTTAAACTGGTACCCTCCATGGGACATCGTTTATACAGCGCGCCACTTCAAAGAGAAACTTATAAACAATTCTTTAAGCACTGAGACACAGTTGTTTTTTCTCCTTGCAAGAAAGTGCAATGTAAGGGAGTTCAGCTTTCAGATTAACTAGCTTTCAGAATAAAGAAGGCTGTACTTATAATTCACATTATTAAATGACACAAATTTTCTGATTAAATAATGTTTCAGTCGATTTTGATTTAAAAAATAAAAGTTGCTGTCTTTGACAACAAAAATATTTTCTGAGGATGGAAAGTTTTTAGGTTGGCCCTTTAACTCATGACTTACCACTCAGAAAGCAAGGCTTTTAAACTGTCCATCTTTTCATTATTCTTAAGATCAGTTTCAGATGCCACCCGCTATATGAAATCTCTTTACCAGAAGTGGTCATTGCTTGGACCCCACAGAACTAGGTTCCTGTCTCTATTATTACGGTTAGAGCTGAAATTTTCATTTTGTTTCTTCACATGTCTTTCTCACCTAATTATCTGTAGAGTCTTTGAATGAAGACGTAGTATATCTGTACACCCAATGTAAGCTCAGAATCTTGCACATAATAGGTATTCAGTAAATGTTTAATAAAATGGATGAGGGGCCAGCCCGGTGGCGCAGCGGTTAAGTGCACACGTTCCACTTTGGTGGCCCGGGGTTCACCAGTTCGGATCCCGGGTGCAGACATGGTACCGCTTGGCAAGCCATGCTGTGGCAGGCGTCCCACATATAAAGTAGAGGAAGATGGGCACGGATGTTAGCTCAGGGCCAGTCTTCCTCAGCAAAAAGAGGAGGATTGGCAGCAGATGTTAGCTCAGGGCTAATCTTCCTCACACACACACACACAAAAAGGATGAATAAAAAATAAAACTTTGCCGAAAGTTGCCACCATTCAAACAATGCTCTGGTAAGTAATGAACCCAAGTATTGTTCCTCTGTCTCTCCTCCTTCAGTCAGCATCGTCCCTGTGAAGCTGATGACATCCTTTGCCTCAGCAGAAGGGTAAAGTGAACTTCATAGTGCAAGAGTTCAGTTTCTGGCCCCGTGTGGGGCAAGGCCCTAAAGTTAGGTTCCCAGGTCCCCTTATGGATAAATAGAATTCAAGACTTCTCCATAGAGACTAACTGGAAAAGACTGGTGACATGTCTCACATAGCCTAGACTGTATTTTTCTGGTCCATGAATTCAAAGGGTGGGACAGGAAGGCTCCCGAATGAAGCTCACAATGCATCCTCCCTTAAAAATTTCTCTAAGCAGAAGAGAATCCAAATTGCTCTCCAATAGCGTGACTCTGATTCTGAGCTTCCTCCAGCCACTCTTAGGTCCAGATACAAAATACCCAAGGAAAATAGGGTGACCTGCCATCCTGATTTCCCTGAGACTGAGAGGTTTCCTGGGATGAGGGCATTTAGTGCTAAAACTGGCACAGTCGTAGGCAAACTGGGAAGATTGATCATCCTAGACTGGCCAAATACGATGAGCCCTCCTGCCAACTCCCCAGGTGGAAAGACACACTTAAGCCAGTCCAGTGAGAAACTCCGGGCGTCATAGGGGGTGTACAAAGCGGTCTGCTAACCACCCTCCCATCGCTTCCTTTTCTGGGCTGCATTTCTTTGGCTACAGCAGTGGATCTCAAACCTTCCCACGCACAGGCTCACCTGGAGGTCTTGCTAGATTACAGACTGCCGGGCCCACCCCAGAGGTGCTGATTCGGTAGGTCTGGGGAAGGGCTCAAAAATCTGCATTTCTTACAAGTTATCAGGTGATGCTGACGAAGCTGGTCTGAGGACGCGGCTTTGAGCACCGCTGCTCTAGAAGTCTGGCATACTACTGTCTTCTTCTGACACTGACATGTGACCAAAACCAGAGTCAGCTGAGAGTATGGAAGCATGAATCAACAGTATAAAGGACAGGCTTTTATAGGAATTGGTCCTATTTTCATTTCTTAAGCACTTCTCAGTGGTGAGTACAGTTTTTAAAAGGTCTTAATATACAAAGTTTTACATAGAATACAAAAGGGTTAAACTTTCAGGCAGGTTTTTGCAGAGATGTGGGGCACTTCTCTATGACTGGGTTTACTTAATCACGACTGATTTCTCGGTGGAAAAGTAAGGACACCGTAGCACAGCTCTGCTGACATCGGTTCCTCTCCTCTGTGCTCAACCTACCAACTGAGATATTCTTTGTACTTAGTCTGAATCACAGTTTCATAAGCATGCTCCCTGGCATACTAAACAGGAAAAGAAAGTGTATTTTGATAACACGGTCTGTATTTCTTTCAACCTATGCAAACTTTTTAATGTAACTAAACATGTAACAAAAATTGACAAGCAATTCCAGATTGTAAATACGTATCCAATTTTATGCCCCAATTCTGCCCTTGAAAACATCTACTGCCGCCCATCAATACACAAATTTTGCCTTACACTGTGGAAGTGTGTCCTTTATCTCGAAAGGCAGCTTCCTGACTGCCCTTGTGCAGATGTTGTGTTCGACCATGAAGAAACTGAGCTACGGTACTTTGAGGGCAGAATTTAAATCCTATATTCATAAAAAGTTTCTAGGGAAATGGGTCTGAAATAGAAGAACTTTACATTTTGATAAGTAAAATGAATTTCTAAATGGCCCTATCTGAGAAACTAGTTCCGAACAATAACGGTTTTGTCTTTGTCCCCAGCGCTCTGGTGGTGGCCTGGCCATCCCCCTGTGTGCATTCCAGGGCACTGTGTCTCTCCAAGCGCCTACAGGGAAAACTCTTTCTCTGTCTACCTATGAGGTAAGTGCAGAAGGACAAAAAATATCCCCAGCCTCTAAGAAAATAGAAGTCTATCGATCCAAAAGTGTCGGCCATGAGCCAAACTCTGAGGATTCTCCCGCCACGTTCGCGGACGCCAGTGTGAAAATACACTTGGAAGTTCTTGAAATCTGTGATAATGAGGAGGCCTTGGACACCGTGTCAATCATTAGCAACATCAGCCAGTCGTCCACACAGGTCAGATCGCCATCTCTGCGCTACTCCCGGAAAGAAAACAGATTCGTCTCGTGTGACTTAGGGGAGACAGCCTCCTACTCTCTCTTCTTGCCCACAAGTAGTCCTGAAGGGGACATCAACATCTCCATCCCGGACACCGTGGAAGCGCACAGGCAGAACAGCAAGAAGCAGCGTCAGGAGAGGGAGGGGCACCAAGAGGAAATCCAGCTGTTGAACAAAGCCTACAGGGAGAGAGAGCGAGCGAGCCAAGGGGCCCGTGATCCCCTGGTCTAAAAGAGCAGGGAGGTTCTGCAACTCCAACCTGCTCCACCAACGCCTTTGCTCGGAGGCTGCGGGATGCCCTTTACTATTTGCTGGTTTGCGTTAGCTTTATAGATTCACTGTTAATTACTTGTAGTGCAAACAGCTGGAAGTAGTGTGAACACAAGTGCTTTTGATGTGTTGCCCATAGATCACACACTGTGCTATTAAAAGATTTTGTTTCTTATCGGATTTCTAAAGATCTTTTCTAAGTCAAATCTTGGCCGAGTTTACTAGTGCTTTTGGCTGTTTATCAACCTCAGAGCAAACAGAAAGTTGCACAAACTCAATGAATGTACTGTCCCCACGCATGTGTCTATATCCACTGTTGGCAGGGGGAAAACACACTTTGGGAATGGAAGAAATGGAGCAAAACCTTAAGTTGTCTTGAAGAGTCTTGCCTGGATGTGCCAGCAAAACACGCCTCTGACAGTGACCACGTTAGCTTTATGCTAATGTCTGGGAGACATCTCTTGTGGTGTCAAACGGCCACCTTCCAACTTCAAGACATGCCTGCCCTGGTCTGTAAATAGCAGTTTCCTTCATTTCTATAAAATACAAATTGTTTACCAAATGTTTTTTTCTTCTCTCTCTTAAATATAACAGTGTTTTCCTTTCATCTTTTCAGTATATCAAGACTGCCCTTAAAACAATTATGTTGCGTGTCCTAAGTGGAATTAGAAGCAGTCCCTAGCTCACACACTATTGGAAAAGGTTGTGAATGTACACACCATTTCTTGAACTGTTTTGCTTATTTGAATGGAAATTGGAGGGAAACACTGCCAGATTAAGTTCTGTGAAGTGCACCCAACTAGAGTGACCAACTTCTGGGTAGAGCAAAGGAAACTGCTCTAAGTCCAAAATAAAAGAGTCTGTTTCTAAAGCTGCAGATTTGGCAAACTTTCTTAGCTATTCTTGAAGCATAGAAAATTTTAGTTCAAATATTATTCCAAATCTAGGTGCTTTCTTTCCCAAAGATGTATATCTCAAAGAAACAACTCAATGTATTATATTACATGACTGTAGGGTGTACATTTCAAGACTAATTTTAAAATGTGTCAAATTGCAAAAAAGCAGGAATCACCTTGTCAGAATATTGGTAATGTATATTTCAAAAGTTATGAAGTGATTTCCTTCAAATTGCTTTATTCTGATCTTTCTATAAACATATGTTAAGTGTACTACTTAAATGTTTATTTTCCAGAGTTACTGAGTTGATATTTTACATGATTTTAAACTTTGTGCACATCCACCTCACCCACATATCTTATTTACTATTTACAGACTAAGTGAATGGTTTTTTAAAATGATTTATTTTGGTTTTTATTTCATTATATTGAATCAGAATTCTAAATTGCTTGACATGGGCTTTCAGATCGTTTCATCTTCAGATTTTTTTGCCACCAAGAAGTCATTTTGAAAATAATTATCTCAATAGACTTTCCCTAACTCTCATTTAACTCACCCATATCTCCTCATCTAAACTTGGGGAGCAAATGTAAAGCCATTAGCAATGCTTGTAAAGCAAGCCTCAAATAGTGCATAATATATAAATTCAAATTTAAATATATTCTCATTACAAATATATTTCATTTAAAAAGGATTTTTATCCCCCAAATTGAGGGCTATTTCACACTGACAAACGGCCGGATCAATCTGATGTTGTAAATCAACAGCATTAAATGTCTGTTATAAAAGAGAAAGTTGAATTGAATATTCTAATAATGCTTTGTAAGGCACAGGCCTTGGGCCAGCCCAGTGGCCAAGTCGTTGCTGGTTCAGATCCTGGGTGCTGACATGGCCCTGCTCATCAGGCCATGCTGAGGCGGCGTTTCACACAGCAGAACTAGAGGAACTCACAACTAGAATATACAACTATGTACCGATGGGGCTTTGGGGAGAAGAAGAAAAAAAAAAAGAAGATTGGCAACAGATGTTAGCACAGGTGCCAATCTGCAAAAAAAGGACAGCCTTGATATATTTAAGTGTATTCTATGAAAGAGAAATTCTATGAAATTCTATGTAAATTCTATGAAAGAGAAAAGTGATTTTCCTGCTGTAAAGTGCAATTTCTGGCAGCAAAGAAATTAGACACCAAATCATAATAAAACAGAAGAAAATAAAGAGTTAAATACAAACAAATCTTTTATAGCAGCACAGTGCTTCAAATGAAGAGGAGAAGATGGAATTAAGGTTTAAAGAGCACTGAGTTGGACCGGAAGACAGGAGTGCACATTTTCCCTCCTGTCTTCCATCTTCTCTTCACTGGGGGAACTGAAAAACACTAGGATATTGATTGCTCTTGGTTGTTGAATTAGCTATACAACGGATACACTTAAAAATCCTGCAGTGCTGACACAATGCCAGAACCATTTAGCCCAAAGTCATAGTTTGAAAGGCTAATCAGCATCACATTCCAACCCGGAACACTTCCCACTCCAGGCCAACAGCAGCTGACTCTGTAAGGAGACTCACAGGGGCTGTGCTTCTGCACCAAGGGCTCCTCCCAGTCCTTGTTGAGAGGGCAGGTTAAGCTACACCAGCACAAAGTCTACTTAGTCTTCAAAGGGATTATGATGGCGAAAATGGGTTTCTGGTATGGGACACACCCTTACAGGTGTCCTGTGCATAGTTAAATATCTTACCCTTGCATCGTTATATTGTTCTTCTTATTAATAAATGCCATATTTCATACAGGTTTTCTTTTCTCTACAAATTGATGTATCTGAAGACAACTACTTGTTATCTAATAAAAATATTGCCATCTGGTGGTGACTCCTACAAACTGAAAAGACGTAATCCCTAAAACGCCCTAATAACATAATAATCCCAAAGACTTCCAAGAGTTGGGATGGACAGAGGCAACATTCGGAAGACAGTAAACACCGCAGCCCTACTCAGAACACGAGAAAGAAGATTTGGCCGTGCATTATCAGAAAGCTTTTCTCAACATGGTTCTTTAGTATTGGATTTCATAGATAAATTTTCTCTTAGTTTTTTATGTATATTATTCAGCTACTTTCATTCATTTATTCATTACAATATTTAATGAATGCCTACTCTATGCTAGACATTGTTCTAGGTACTTAGAATTGTACCTATATTTGGTTTTGAGCAAAACCAAAAATACATACATACTGTGAGTTTGAGCCAACTGCAAATTTAGAGAACACAGTCCACATGAGACTTCCCTCTGTTCTGACATCAACTGCAAGCTCAAGGTGTTCCCAAAACCACTGTCATTTCTGTAATTCACTGGAAGAACTCAGTGAACTTACTGCAAGCTGTGTAGTCACAGTTTCGGTGTATACAGGGAAAAGATTGTTAGAAACAAAAATTGAACTGAGTAAATCTGAAGACCTAATCGGCTTTATTAAAAGAGGCATGAGTCGGGCAGCACCCCATCTAACCATGGGAGGGCGCTCTGAGGAGCTGTACAAAATGGAAGGTCTTTATAGGCAGAAGGGAGCAGAGCAAGGAAGCTATGAAAACAGAGTGGATTGTTTGAGGCAAGGTCACCTTCCCCGAGGGGCCGGAAGGCAGGGGTCTTATCAGGTGGATCACCTCACTAGTGTTGGTCAGGAAATTCCAGACTGATGGGTTTGAAATTCCACTCCTGGGAGAAGCTGAAACTGCCATTAAGTCTTGCTTTGCTGACGTGGGGCTTAGCACAAGCAACTCCATTTTGGGCCTGGTGTTTCTTTTTAACAGGATACAAATTAAAATCAGCCAAGAGAAGAAGTACATACAATAGGGTCTAGAAAAAGTCTAAATACGGAGCTTCTGTTGTCCTCTCCCCAAGGAGTCACGGACAGCATGACTTTCCTGGCACCGTGTGACAACACACATGGAGTATTGCCTGCAAGGAAAGCTGCTCTGGATCTTGGTGTCCAGCATCTTTACTGGGACTCTGTCATGCTAGGAACAGGGCGAGCATGGCTGACGGCTCACGTGACTGAGCTCAGTTTCCAGCTCCCCAGAAGGTCAGGTGATATGGAAGCCCCTATCCTAAATCACAGTTACTCTCTGGCTGGTCTGAGGCCCCCAGATAAACAAAGGCACTCCTATCAGGCACCACATTCCAAGGGCTTAGAGATCACCTCCCCAGAAGGGCAAAGGCCAGACCTCCCTTTGGATAAAGTTAAGTTCTTTACTATACATTTATATATATATACATATCGGGGAAGGCTAAGTGTATGGACAGATAATAGGTATTAGAAGTACTAAAAATGCTAAGAAGAAAAACTAGAATAAAAAGACAAGGATGGACAGACAGCTTTTTTGAATACTTTAGTCAGGAAAAGCTTCACTGATCAGAGACTCAAATAAAGCGAGGAAGCATGCTGTGTGATCATCCGGGGAAATCACAGTCCCGCAGAGGGAGAGCAAGTCTCCAGGAGTGGGAGTGTGCCTTCTGGGCTCTGTGAAACGATCCCGGAGGGTGCTGAGTGTAGCTGAGAGAGAGACAGACAGACAGACAGAAGGGCAGGGAAGACAGACCATCAGCACCCCGCACACCAGGTCGGGACCTGGGATTTTTATTTTTATTCTAAACAAGGTGGGAAGCGACTGGGAGGTTCTGAGCAAAGGAGTGACGTGTCTGATTTCAGAATCCTTGTCTGTTGTCAGGGGAAAGACCACACGGGTACAAATACAGCTACGAAGGAAAGGCAGGAGGGTATTTCAAGGGTCTGGGTTAGACACAACGTTGGCTCGGGTTAGGGTGCAGCAGTGGAGATGGTGACAGTGTTGTATTCTGATTCAATAAATAAGGAGGATTTCCTTGGTAATTTTAGATTATAAATTTATTAAACATCTATGTGTGGAACCTGTAACTTGAGAACAAATTACCTCAGGCATCTATTTTTTGTTAATATTCTGGAATATCCCAATGTTTCTAAAGTCCTCCATGTAGCACAGAGGCTAGAAGCCTCAAAATTATGTTTCCCAGTCTGTCTTGCCGGCAAGGTCCAGGTTTAGCAGCTGCCAACGACAGACCTTTGCACGAGACGTGGAAGGTACAGCGGAAGAGAAGCAGAGCAGGTCAATGAATGCTCCTGACCAGCTGAGCCTTTCTCCTCCAGGGCCTGGGTTCTGTCCGTCTCACAGTTCCACTTCTTCATTCCCTACGATCACTATGCTTGTCTGTGTCAAGCCGGCAGAAGGGGAAATGGCAGGGAGGATCCTGCGCTCGCGCTCTCAGTGGGACTGGCCTGGAAGAACAGCCCCTCAGTCACTCCAGCTTCCACGACACTGGACACATCTCAGTACACAGCCACACTGCACTGCAGAGGAGGTGTGTGCACAGGAAGAAGAAACCCAAATTTGGTGAGCAGCTAGGTATCCAGTCTCTGCCACACGCTGTGGCCCTGACTAGACAATCACACACCATACGGTGATAGAATGTGAATAGGGGCCCCTCTCTGGTGTCATAAGATGCGGACAGAGGTGCTGCAGACAGTAACCCAACAGTGCTACATTTCCCCAAGTTTGAGTTATTGGGTCTCGACTAAATTTAGGACATCAACACCCTAATCTAGACAATACTGCTCCAAACCTCGGTCAACTTGTTCTAGGCTCTCTCCAGCTTAAGATACAAAGACAGTCATATTTGTCTGTCTTTCCTTCAGTCTTGAGATCTCAACTTTAAAATGCGTCAAGAACACGCATACACAAACATTCACACATACAAAAACACATATTCTCAAGAACAGCAGCAATTTGCTGGCATTGGGCAATCAAAATCCAAATACGAAACCACCATGGAGACGGTCTTTTGCAATATTACACAGAACAATTTAGATTCCTGGAGCCACATTGTCTTGAAACACTTTATTACAGAGGAGGATCTTTCCACTTTTACACAAGCATAGTCCCACTGAGTAATTTTTCCAGAAAAGAGGAAAAAAATGCCTCAGAGCTAAATTTTCGTCTCCACCACATAGCAGAAACTCCCATAAACTGTAAAATGTCAGGGTCAAAAAAATTAGGGTTTAGACAAATCCACGGTCACCTGGTTATAGTAGTAAAGATACAGATCTTCACGCTAACAGAAGCCTTAAGACTTTGTATTTTCTTTAAAAAAAATTTTTTTTTAAGTGTACAGCTGGATGTGTTTCCTCAAATTTAACATTCATGTAACTACCCCCCAGATCGAGACACAGAACATTACTAGCCCCCAGAGGTCTCCCACATATCCATTCTCGTGCAGTAACCCACAAAAGGAACCATGAATTTGACTCATCATCACCCATTAGAGGGTTTCTGAACTTCACACATGGAAATACATTTTTACTGGGTAGAAAAGTTACAGCCTATACAGGACATCACATGATATACAGATCACTTAATACTGCACGTGAGCAGGACACGGTGTCCTAGATCTGTGACACACAGTGGGGGTGCATAAGATTTCAGTGAGTGTTACTGATAAATCATTAAGTAACAATGAGAAAGTTACTCCTTCTTAATTCCTATTCTTTCTAAGAACATCTAATTCTTTTTTATTTTCTCTGCTTACATAAGAGACAACTCTCAGCTTGGTACTATCAAGTCCTTAGCTCTCTCTACCACTCGATTCTCTCCTTTTCTGACAATGGGAAATCAGGCTTTAAACTAGACTCAGCGGGCAAATGACTCAAGCTGGAATTCAATTACACTGTTTTGTTTTCATTGATTCACCTTTATCTTTATCTATTTATGAAAAAATGCTAATCTCACATCTAGAATAGTAATATAAAGTTTCCCTTTCAAATAAATGACTGACTATAAAAATGAGTCAATTTCATGAAATTTCAAAACTAGTAG